TTTCCTTTATATTTCATTCCATTTATGAGCTCAGCTCCAAGATACAAGGCAGGTTGACCCCTTGGTTCAAAACTTTTCCCGCCCGGTTCCCGAAACCAAACCAACGACCCAAACGGTATCAAGTAACCTTCGTAAGGGTACCCATGAAAAGCTTCAAAACAAGTAACGGGAGGATCAATACTAGCATGTGATATCGTGTTGACCGAGTGTGCGAACTCAAAGTATTTTACAGCTAGCGGCCACAAATCCGGGTCCATACCAGCATGGAGCAACAGCGATGATGCTGATCCTTTCAAAGTTCGAATGGCTGATTCCGCATAGGGGTTTTTGATATCCATATTGGGAGGCGAAGGGTCCGAAACAAAACCTAAGTCTTCAACTGCTCTCAAGATGCCCCTCTCTCTATCTGATGATACCTCAACAATACCAGGAGCCTTTGTTCCACAGAAATGTTGAAGACCCTTCATTGCTTCTTCCCCACTCCGCTCATCGGATGGAAAAACACCAATCAAACCCGAAAACCTGTCAACTAGGACCAACGCAACTTTATCCCCAGTTTGCCCCACCAAGTCTCTTGCAATGACAAAATCCACTGCAATTCTCTCCAGAGGAGCCGTCGGATCCTCAGCCTCTCTTGCCAATCTCAGAACCTCAAGCTGGTTTCCCCGACGCCTGTGAGGCGCCTCATGCAGTTTGGCTTGACGACACGTGTCACACAAATGACTCTTCGGAAGGTGGGTCAGAAGATGATTGGGAGGTAAGTTTTCTACCCAAATTTCATCATCCGCGCGCCCTTCCTCCTCCTCCCTCCCATCCGCGCTATGCGCACGTACGGCTTCTGGAGGACTTACTTCTTCCACTTTACCGTTCACATCCGGACCCCCTTCAGCGTCCGCGCGATGCGCAGGTACAGCTTCCAGAGATGCCGGAGGATGCCGGAGGAACAGGTGAGTCAGTGGCGCCGTCGATCCCCCCGGTGGGGAAACCATGGTGGGGCGACCATATTGCACTGCAACCAAAAAATGGGCACGTGATGGTCGATTCAGGACTCTGCAGCCAAGGGAGCTGTGAGGGTTCCCAATGAAAACTGAAACCAGCAGTCTGAACCAAGTGACCTATGGAAAGCACCAAGGGACAATCATCCAGCAAATAAATATTGTTGATCCTATCAAATTCCTGCGACCAAAGCCCAACTGATGTAGTAGCAGGTTGGGAGCCCCCCCCCAGTCGTGAACCGCAAGGAATAGCTAGAAGTTCCCGACCATGAGGCCAATTCCTCAGCCTGCACGCCTTGACGACGCAAAGCCTTGGAACTTCCCAGCCATTCCCCAGCACCTGTATCGCCAACAAATTCCAAAAAATGGTTGTGAGATGGAGCCGGAAGAGTGGTAGCTGTGGCAGCAGTGATTGAAGCAGCCAACAAAGCCACCATACCAGGTTTGGTAGGAGAAGGCTTGGGCTTGGGGTTGGTAGTCTTGGGGGCAGGCTTTGATTTGGCATTGGGATCATGTTTGAACGGGCATTTCTCGCGGAAACACTTGCCTTGGGCAAAGTGAATGCAAGGCATTTCAGCCTTCTGTGTTGCAGTCAACTCGGGGGTTTTAGCCGTGGTCGGCTTTGAAGTTTGCTTTGATTTGCCCTTTCCGTCCTTGTCACCTTTCCCTGGTTTGCCCTTTCCTTTACCATCCTTTCCACCTTTAGAGGCAGGCAGCCCAGACGATTCCTGAACTGGATGGGGCTTTTTGGAAGGACCTTTCCTCAGAGCCTCCTGAATGCTGAGCGCGTTGGCTTCCTGCTGAGACTCATGGAGACATTGCTCCAACTTTCCCCATAACCAATCGAAAGTCAAATATTCAGGGGGAGCATCGCGCACCTTGTCAACATGCCTGCGCATGAGTGGATGCTTCTTGACACGGTCATACAACCACTTGGCTAGGAGTCTAGGTTCTGGACCATCAGCAGGACCTATCTGGTTGCGTACGTAATTCACCTTGTCCCTCCATTGTCGAAGGGAAGCGACATTGTCTTGCGGAGGGGGAAGGTTGTACAGTTCCAACGCAGTCATGATGGCACCTGCGTTTTGATCAGTGTCGAACTCACGATACACCAGGTTCAACATAACCCGACCCCGAACCTCATGACCATTCAATTCACACTCCTCCAAATATGAGTTGAACCGAACACCAAAGTGAGACCTAAGATGCTCTGGTTTACACAGAGCAGCCGCTAAGACCCTGTCAAAACGTGGAAAATCCCCAGAAGACGACTGTAGAGCATGTTTCTCTGTTTCTGATCGGGCATTGATAGTTTCGGAAAGCCATCGCATGAGGGATCCATCAGATGAACGATCAAACCTCACCATTAGAGTTTTAAAGAGTTCTTCCATTGCCTGAAAGCACCTGCATCACTAGGAAGGGTGGGTACCTTGAAGTAATGCAAATCCTTAACACGTAGAATGACAGATTCAAGATCATCTCCGCTTCCACTGGCCTTACTGTGAGCGTTGGACGCTTGATCCTGATCTTTGACCTCCTCTGCATGACCTTCCGCATCATGGAACAAACGAAACTCCTCAACTCCTTTGGGTGTAGTTCCGTTTGGCGTCTGGAACCCCCCTTTTTGAGGAGATGTTTCACCAACACCCTGTTCCCACCAAAAGTCTTGCTTCAGGGTTTGCACTTCAGCATGAAGGTTCTGAAACATATCCCTGTCCTCCAAAATGTCTCCAACAAGTTTGTCAAATCTAGAGTTCAACCTCGAAATGTTTTGCTCTGAGGATTCCAGCCTAGAGTTCCAAGACGTGAGAAACATATTCTTCAATGATGTCAATCCCTCTTCAATTAGTTTTTTTGATCCTATGTTCAAACTGGACTGTCAAATCTCCCGCAGCATTTTGACCTGGTTGACTCACAAGGGCACTCCTCAACCGATCTATTTCTGTCATGCATTCTTCCAACCTTGAGTTCAAAAACTTCTCTCTTTCAGCAGCCAGACTTAAGGCAGCATCCCTGGCAGTCAGCTCAGCCTTCAGTTGGTTGACTTGGGATTGAAATTGCGCATTGTTTTCTAGCACGTGGGTTCTTGCTTCCAAAATCGCGTGCGCTGCTTCGGTTCTAGCCCCCGTTACAGCTTCAGCCGCTCGGGCCATCACAGAAGGTTCCAATGATGGGGGGGCAACATACTGGTTCACAGTTTGGTGGATCTGTCGATCATCCTGAAAACTCTGAAAGGTTTGGTGATGATGAACTTGCCGGCAATCCTGAGCTCCTTGCCCAGGACTCTCACTAAGCCCCGAACCAGATGGCATTGCACTGGGCTCCAGGCTTTCAAAACGCTCACAAACTTCCATCCCTGCTGATGGGTTCCCATCTCCCATTTCAAGGACCTCTTTAATACTTTGCGTTCCATCATTTCTTTCCAACTGAGCCGACCCTCTACAACACTCCCTATCCGCCCAGAGGGGACGCCCGCGCTTTGCGCTGGTGCGCCCTTTGTGGAAGGATAAGGACTAGGCTTACGAACCTTTCCCTTTTTGGGGGTCCCTGAAGATGATGAACTGCGACTAGGAGCCCGTGAAGTCAAAATGGCTGGCACCCCATCAACAGATGAACTCAATGAAAATTCAGGACTAGAAGATGAAACCATCAACCACAAAACCACCCAAAGAACTTATCCCAACTGAAATCAAAATCTGCCAAGCTTTTGCAAGACGCGATTTGATCAAGGGATGGGAAACTGCTCTGCCCAAGATGGAGAATCTGCAACCGGAAGGAAGCGGGATTGCTCAATGTAGTCGGCAAACTCCGCAAAGGATCTCACGTGATACAAATTCCGATCTTTTGGGCAATGTTCTGCTTCAAAATAGACGTCTGTTCCCTGGGATGCAGCAATAGTTTCACGACAGGCCCCCACAAAAGCAGCAGTTTTCAACCGGCTCACAATCCCAGCTTTTTGGGAAGGGTTGTCGCAAAAGTGAAGCCCGACTTGTTTCGAACACCCTTGCGTTGTGACAAATTGGTTCAAATCTCTTATTGATGCCACTGCCTGGGATCTCAAGCGGTATGAGTCCGCACCAGTGTAAGAAAGAACTGCCAGTTGGTGATGTCCGAGATTCAAGAGCTTGACAATTGCCTGTTTGTTGTTTCCTCTCGCTTCCCGTCACGACTGTACTTTAGGAATTCAGCACAGTCCAAGACACCGTGCAAATCAGTCACGATCAACACGCGAGAAGGTGGCGGCCCTCTGGTCAGATTTGATGGCCCAACTCTGGGCCTCAAAGGCTCACCCCGAGTGTCACGTGAGAGTTCACCTGGATGAGGAGAGCGATGGCTACTGGTGATCAACCTCGCCGACGACGAAGGTTCTGCAACTTGTTCGGGCCTGGATTCAGTGAAAGCTTGCTCGTTTGAGGCGGGCTTCACTTGAGATCCTGATGCCGAGCTACTTGGGAGTTCCCGCGGCTCTACTTCAGCGCTTGCAGGATGAGGAAGTTCTCGGAGTTGAGAACCGTATTGAGGTACCTGTGGAAAGTCTTTCTTTGGTTGATACTCACTCCGTTCAGTCCTCGCCCGAAGGCTTTTCTGAGCTTTGACTTTCTGGCCACCTCTTTCACCCCTTGGGCGCTTAATTTTGCTGACCTTTTGGAGTAGCTTTTCAGCTACCAAACAGTGCACCTCCGGTAAGCGTCACTGATAGCGCTGTTGCCCCTTCCGCAAGGATTTGGACTATGGCGCGAGCTTCCAAGGCTTAACCCAATAAATCAGCAGACACACCTTGTTTATGTCTTGAGCCAAATAAGTTTGTCATGGGCTTTTATACCCTGTAGGTGAACTGTACATGTAGGGTTTAACCCAAAACGTTTCACGTAAAAAAAAAGATTACCCCGTGTCAGAAGCCAAGCCCAGCCCGTGAAGTCTGACGACGTGCGCCGAGTCATCGGCTCCTCTCGCGTGCGTGAACGACGCACGCAACAAAGGTCTCGCCCGTCTCGGGTCTCGCGCCTCTGCCCCAATAAGGGCCACCTCCTCTTCAAAGCCGTCGTCCAACATCTTGTCACCTTCATCCTCAACGTCGTCCCGAGCTTGTTTTGGTGAGCGTCCAGAGCCCCCAAATAAGACCCTATTTAGGGGCCCCGCCAGGGGGAGTTGTCACTCGTTGGGTGAGGAAAAAAACAGGTCAAGGGAAGTGATCGACGCTTCCATTGGATTTTGAGAGGGAAGTGAACACCTGCCTCAAGTGAGTTTTGATTCAGAGATTTTTTAACTGCCGTCGTCATGGCATGTCTGTGCTATCATCTGTTCTCTCCCACCATGTGTGATCTCTCTGATCCAGCTCAGTCGTTTTTCAAGAGCCCCAACAGCTCGGGGTCCCCGTTTTGGGTGTGCCCCTCGCAACTGTGACAGTTGTCAGTTGGTGCCCACTAAGAAACTCAACTCTCTTACAGGTGTCCACAGGCCGGCTAACATAGACATAGCATAGGCCCCCACACACCCCCTTTCTGGGAGTTCTGCCGTGCTACAGACCCTTCACTACTTCCCAAACATGCTTGGCAAGCATCCAAGACCAGGAAGCTGCACCTTGTCAGCTTGAAGGCCTTCTGATCGCCGGGCCTGCCAAGCTGGCCCATCCCCGAAAGCTAGGACCTGGAATTGTTCGGATCACTCCTATTCTTGTGACTCTCTCTCTCTCTCTCAATCCGGTCTTCGGTCATGCGACAAAAAAAAGACATGCGTGGTCATGCTGCATCCAGCCTGGGATGCATGAAATCGAGCAATCTCCCGACGGTTCCAACCAGCAAATGTATGACCCCCTGCCGCTTCAAGATCTGCAGCTGATCCATCCTGCAAGGTTTCTCATTCCAAAAACGGGGTGTTCAAGAATGCCGACCGACCCGGTCCGATCCGGGACATCAAATCCCACAAGCTGTCCAAACACAAAACACATGCTGCTTGCGTTCGAACATCATGTGAACATGGTCGAAGAAAGGGGGCTCGGACATCGTCGGACACCACCGGTTGGCCGGTTTCGAGCCGATGCCGTTCAGCCGGGGCCCAGGTCATCCCCAAAGAGGCACTGGCACTTCAACAAGTTTAATACGCTTGTGGAACATGAGGTGCCAAAAGCAGCTAGTCACGGGGTGAGGAATCAGAAATAAGTATAAGTACCAGGTACCAGTATCAAACAATATACAAGATCAGCATCAAAGTACAGACAGAGCGAGGCAAAAGACACAAGCCAACGAACGTGGCTCCAAGATGGGACTAAACTCCAAACGTGGCAAAGCTTTGTGGAAGGCCGCAAGGGTCCTCAAAAAACGTTCATTGCCCCACTCGCGGTTAGGCCGAGCGCACGCAACAGACCCATGGGACACACGCACGAAGGAGGAGGTAGGAGGAGCAGGCCGAGAGGTCCGAAGAAAAGAAAAATAACGCCAGACCACCGGAACAGGATGACCAGAACGGGGGATCGATCAGTGGACTAGGATGACGGCTAGGAGGGGCGAGAAAAGACGAGGCGCGCCAGCGAGTTCACAGGACCGACCAGGTGGACTGATGTTCTTCTTCTTGATCTACAGTGGTTTCAGAGGTTCGATGGCACAATCCCCATGATGTCCTTTAGGTGGGGGTCCATGATGGCACCGCCGACATTGGGGTCTGTGCCATCTACTCTCAATCCACTATACATGCCTCCGCTCCATGCCATGTCACAAGATCCTTTTCCTCCAACCCGTCCTCCGCTGACCCCCATAGACAGCGGCAACGGTACAGCTGCGCCGCGCGCGCGCCGTGAGCTTCTCCGCCACGGTTTTGATTTGCATCACCAGCTCACGTGTGGGCGCCAAAATCAAGGCGATGGGACCCTCCGAGACGGAACCTGCTTGTTTTTCAGGTGGAGTCCAAGAGAGGTGAAGTGACCGTCAATAGGACCCTACTGAGGTACCTATGGGATAGTCTATAGGCTATAGGGTTCTTCAACCTCTGTTGGGTCTGGTGGGAATCAACACCAACCATGGAAGACCAGCATGATTGAAACAGCCTGCTGCGGCGCCTCAGTCTGGAAGTCTATGGACCTGGACCATCCGCTCTGAACGTGCTCGACCTTTAAAGTGCAATTCTGTCTAGGACTACCACGCCTCACCTCACCTCACACCTGAGTATCTGCACATCCTGTAGGCGCTTCAGCATGCACTGCCAAATTTTTACTGAATTACTCTGCTATCGTGACTTTGCCTTGCTTTGTGCTGACCTACAACCCTCATGCGGTCAACCTGAAAGGGGGCTCGATCGGCGTCGGTGTGCTGTCCGTTCCCCATCCAAACTGTGAACCCTCAGGGGGCTGGTGAGTTGTTAAACGCACGATGGTGTTTGTGAATTTCTGTGCTGAAGGGACCAGCTGCTCGGTTGGGATAGAATGCAACTGTCCGTTTCTGCACCGCACATTTCTTGGCCCCATGCCACATGCCAAACAGGTATTGGCGGTGGCTCACTTGCTGCCAGTGCACGTGGGCTCGACTGGTTGGTCGCATGCACCATGGCCGGCACCAAGAAAGCTAAAGTCTTCCTTGGAACTGGTCCCACTTGAGGCCAGGGGTTGGTGACGAAAGTTAGCATGGCTTGGAAACGGGATGTGGCGAGAGGCAGCGGAGAGTGCAATTCTACATTTTTGTTCTGGAAGGTCTCTGGTTGCCAAATGACCTAGTGGAGTGTCCTCTCCGGTGCCTTGATCAGACGTGGGGGAGGGGGGAGTTGAACCCGCCAGTGGGGTGGGGGGGAGGTCTACACATGAATTATTCATTGGGTAGGTCATTCCATCCCCCAGCCAATGACTTTCTAAAGCAAGAGTAACTCCAGCTAGCTGACGCTAGCTTTCGTGCTCTCCTGAATCTCCCGAAAGCAACTTCAGGTGTTCACATGACTGAACAAAAACAAGAAACACCCCAGCAGAGTGGAACCAAAACCTGGGCTCCAATCCTATGGCCCGTGGGGGGTCTCCCCACATCTCCACCGGTCGCGCCCGCTGCGCCGAAACCGCTCGCCGTCGACTCCAGGTCTCCCGGAGCCGGTGGGCGCCGTGGCCACCACGTCGTGCCCCGCCAGGGCCAATGGCAGAACCTTCCGCTGGATGGGTTTCATCTCCGTGAAGCTGTGCTCTTGGAGACCTCGCAGTGAAGACAGGAAGACTCGCAGTGAAGACAGGGCGGGCGAGCGAAATCAGTGAAGTTCTACAGACTCAGGTGGCGCGGTGGAACCTGGAAGAGGATGCCTCCACTGGCAACGTCATCACTGACAGGCATTGCTGGTCTTGGGCGTGGAGATGTGAGGAGTTCATCTACCAAATGGGAGGTGGTCCGGCTGCAGCCCACAACCAAAAACAACAACAGAATGTCAGCTTGGAATGTCCCACCCACAAAGTCGGATGTTTTGTTCGGTGCACCGGTGCAGAAAGAGAGTTCTCCGATTCCCGGGCGTCACGTCGTTCGTTTTTGTGAGCAGTTGGTTCACTGTTCGTCCGTTTTTGTGGTCTATTTAAGCCGGACAGGGGCCCCAAGTCCTTTGGACCCACTTCTGTATCGTTGGCGGGTGACGTTGCTGGAGCGCCTTGGCTGCTTCTGCTGAGGGGCGTGCCACGCTGGAAGTAACGATGTTTTATTCAGTTTCTCCTTGAGCATTCGCCCACAACATCTCCAAAGAATGGGTATTCTATGGTATTCTGTTAAAGTAGACTCTTGATCAACACACCCCCCATATGAAGAGGATGTTCAATTCAAATGGCTGGGGTGAATCAAGGGTCTACATTATCCCGTATCCCTTCTTCAAAACTTTCCCCCCAACTGCAACAGCTCCGAGGCACCGTCGGCGAGCCACTTCGGGAGCGCCTGGCGGTAGTCCCCGAAATGCGCGCCGCCACGGCCAGCCGGCGCGTCCTGCGGCGGATCCGTGGGGCCCGCGGCGCATCAAGCCACACGGAAGGCGCATGCAAAAAGAGAATGCATGTGATTACTGTGTGTGTGTGTGTCCAACCCTGGACAAAGGGTCTTCCACCACCACTCTTTC